TTCATTATTTAACAAAAACAAATGGAGCATTTCAGTGTGTTTAAATACATTAGTCCTCTAGGGAAGCACATCACTCTTGAGGCTTTGCTTCAACTTCACTGCTTCTGGAGTCTCATCTTGAATAAAAGGTAATATGTTCATGTATAAACTAACATGATAGCTTAGTCTAGACTGTGGCTTCCTAAAATCTTTTGAAAACTAATTATAAAAATGTGTATTTGTGTAATGATAATTTCTCATAAAGAAACCATTGAGAGAAATGATGACCCTTTTAGGATCAGAAGGTGAGTTGAGAATCTCAACTCCTGTAAGTTGAAATCAGCAATCATTGTGCAAAGTAAATAATGTGAAATATGGAGACATATTCCAGCTTCTTTCCTCATGGAACTTCTAAAAAACTTTTTATTGCCTTGTCTAGATACTGGCATCTACTCTCCTACTTATTATTTTACCTTTAACTTAAATTTGAATTCAAATTTTAAGAAAATAGCATATGTTCTCTTTTTTGCAAATGTATATATTGTTTCACAAGTTTAGCTTTTAAAAATTTACTTTATTCCCACAAGCAAACATTTCTCACTACCTTTTCATTTAGCTTTCCATCATTTTAAACAGTTATGTTATTCTGCATAATAAAAAATATTGTATAACAGTTACACTTTACTATCTTACTGATTTATACTATTTGTTTTCATTCACTTTTGACATGGCTGAAAAGAAAGATTTTGCTATTTCATATTTTTATTATTTTGTCATTGGGAAATATTTTTTAAAAACCATTACATATATATTTATATATCTATGTCTACATATCCATCTTTCAGTTTATCACGGTTAGTAAAAGGAAACCACTCTTTTATAAGCACGTTTTGATTCTGTACTTTCAATACAATTTACAGGCATAAAAAACACTAAACACTAATGTTTTCTTTTTTTTTTTTTTTTTTTATTTGAGATGGAATTTCACAGGCTGGAGTGCAGTGGCACAATCTCGGCTCACTGCAACCTCCGGCTCCCAGGTTCAAGGGATTCTCCTGCCTCAGCCTCCGAAATAGCTGGGATTAGAAGCTTGCGCCACCACATCTGGATAATTTTGTATTTTTAGTAGAGATGGGGCTTCACCATGTTTGTCAGGTTGGTCTTAAACTCCAGACCTCAGGTGACCTGCCTGCCTCAGCCTCCCAAGGTGCTGGGATTACAAGCATGAGCCACTGAGCTCAGCCAAAAAACACTAACATTTTCATGCTTTTTGTATCACAAAATTACTGATGGATAGGTTTATCTATCAGGTTATAGAAAAACCCCAAGATACATATTATTTTATGTGTAATGTGGTTACTCTAATACCAGAAATTTCAATTTAAATAACTGAGGCAAATCAATGAATAAGTAACAAAGCAAATGACATAAATCATGAGTTTTGCTTTATGTTTTAGATATTTAGGGTTATTTATTAATAATAGTAATTTTTTATAATTAGGTGAAAAATATTCTTGAAATGTTTTATCACAAGTTATTGGTAAAAGAGATTAGAATAATAAAGGCCATTACGTTTATATGAATTACTCTATTGTTTGCAATAAACAAATAAAAATGCCATTTATTTGTCAGTCTTAAGGCAAATATGTGTTTCAATGAAAATGTTTTTAGTTAGATGTTTATAATTTGCAAATAAATAGTCTGTTTAACTTTTTTTGTTTAATAGCAAAGGAACTGGGTTAACTAGCTTATACATGTTTATGATAACATATCACAGTCTCATATGAGGTTAATTTTGTTGAATGAGTTTATTTAAACTATCATTTTCATCAATTCAACTTCTCAAAGAAGGTATGAATATTTTCCCTGTGACTTCTTAACAGTTTGATTGTTCTCTACCCAATATCATTACAGTTCTAATCTGAAGATTACACCATTTTTGCAACTGTCAAAACAGAAACCTGGCTCATTTTCAGTGACCTTATTATAAAGCCTGTGCCTGTTGCTTGTCATTCTAACGTCTAAACATCTCTTTACACTGTACCTTAAATATCATCCCTAAGGTCATTATGTAAGGTCCCCTATAATGTCACAAAACCTAAGTAATCATGTCATCTCATTTTGCCCTCCCTACATTTTGAACTGTTTACACTTTCAATGTGGTATGCTTTCTCTTCTTCATTTTTTGCAATCTCCCAACACCACTTTAATCATTCCATGTAATCCAACTAGAGCATTACTTTCTTCTTTACCTTCATACCCCCATTCCTTTGGTCTGTTTAAGGTGTTGATTTGTGTGTTTCCCTAATGCCTTACCCTTTCCATATCAAAGCATTCACTTTTACTTATCAAGTTGCCAATAAATCTCCAAGTTTCATGCTATCAGGCAGTGGGTTTTAATTGTCTTTCTATCTGGAGTATGTCTCCCAGTGCTTTAGAGCACCATATAATCAAGGAAATTTTGATGGATGAATACAAGAAAAAATGTGATACTGAATTTCCACTTATGTTTTCAGAGGACCCAGCCAACTATGAAGTTTCTTGTCTTTGCCTTTCTCTTGGCTTTCATGGTTTCCATGATTGTAAGTATACCAGGACATTTTGAAGAATATGTTCTCAGTACCTTTCCCAAGAGTCATTCTATTCTTTGTATTCTGGCATATACTGGTGTTTACTTGAATACAGTTTTACATGTTTTAATGTTTCCATATGAACATTTTCTCTGCATTAACCTACATAAATTAAGGGTTTAGAATAAATATTCATGTTCACCTTCATATACTAAAGTATATTTAGTTTAATATGAAATAAAATAAGTTTTAATGAGCTTCTTAAATATGGGGAACTGAGAGCTGTAAAAATATCTTTAAACATGTAATGCTCTAGAACATATGAATTTAGAAATCTCACAAATTAACTAGATGCACTGGAGTGGAATCCACGTGTTAAAAGATGTCAAAGTAGAAATTTTCAAGTCATTCTTTGCAAAAACTAACTTAAAACTAGCACACACTTATTTAGCAAATCCTTTTTAAAATAAAGCTGTTTATTTTTAACTATAAAACAAAACCTCAGATTATTACATGAGTTCCCAGCCTGTATTGTCATTTACTACTGTGTATCACTAAGTAAAGCACTTGACTTCTCTAGAGCTCTTTCTTCTACTCTACTTCCTTTTTACCTCCTGTTTCTTTCCTTGCTATGACATTAGTAGGTAATTAACCACAAAAGAATAAAAATACTTCAACTTATCAGATAAATTCTGACAGATATCTCAAAAACTAATTTGATTATAAAATCACAGTTTACTGCATTCTTTGTTATGAAAGGATAGGCCTCTAAAAAATAAAAATATAAGGAAAACAGTGAAAAACATAATGCTTGTCTCTGTCACTAAATAAATGTTATATGTGAGTAACTTTTGAGCTACTGAGAACATATTCTTATGAAAAACTACAAAGTTTCACTTTTCATTCACCAGTGATAACCATTTACTCCCTTTCACACACAAAAGAGGTATAAATCAAAATAAATTTATACTTGACTATAGCACACTAATTACAGAAAAGCATACTGTTAACTCATTTTGAAGATGTCATGAAGCAAAAACAACTAATTCAGTGTCTATCGATGATTTGCCCACATCCTGTTTAGTTTATTCACAATTGTGGCTGCTGAGTTCATTTTTGTACCAATTTGGAATTACATCTTAATTAACATTAAGATATTAACTATTTTCTTATTTACTGTTTTCTAAGGGAGCTGATTCATCTGAAGAGGTGAGTCATTTTCATTCACTGGAAAACTGAAGTTTTGTCCTCCCTACCTTTGTATTGAATTATTAAGCTTTTCTTCATTTTTCACAGAAACGTGATCGTAGATACGGAAGATACTATGTAAGTATTCTCTGATAATGGGTGTAGTACAAATAAATTTTATTATCTGATTACTTATTCTTCTAGAAGAATCAATACTTATTTCTCAAATATGTGTAGTAGTTGCAAAAGTGGCCTTTGTTTTGTTTATTTATGATACACAGGTAACAGTCACAAATGTATTGTGTCCCAAAAACATTTAAAGTGAAACTCATAATGCCAACCTGGTGAAACTAATTACTCTTTGAGCCCTCCAGTATCATCTCCTAAATAATCACACTGAACTAAAAAATAGCTAAAATTCTAATTCTATTAATTATACTATATTCCTCATGGAGCAAAAAGGCTGATAACTACACAAGATAATGAAAAGGTGCAAATTTCCCATATCTACACATAACAATGGGAAATTTGCACCTCTGATTTTTTTGAGGGTGATAAACTCATTAAATTAAACAGGCCATTTTAAATGAGACAGCAAATTTCATTTATTTAACATTTTTCTTAATGTATGTATCTTTACATCACAGTATTTTGACATATAATGTCAATGAGATAGGGCTGTAAAAGGTCTCCTTACTAATATAGTGAATATGTGGATTAAAGTAACACCAAATAAAAAGATGTTTAAAAAGGGATGATGGTTATTTGTGTTAACAGAAGGAAGAAGTATTAAAGAATGTAGTAATCGTAAGAGACAGCTCATTAAGAGTGACTTGAAGAAACACCACATTATCTGAATTTAGTAAATGTCTCCTTCCCACAATATTCACTGGTGGGCAAAATAGTTGCTGGGAGGTAGTAATTTGAAGAAAATTTAAAACTTTTTTGGAGTGGTAGCCTATAATCAGTGTTCCTGCATGTTAAATAAAACCACAAAACTGTAAACACACAGTAAAAAGGTAAATAATCATTTTCAACTGCTTTTAAAATTTGTTTATAACCAAAAAGAAAAAACTAATTAAAAGTTTGGAAAAAATTATCTAAGTAATATGTAAGTTTCTAAAATTTTAACAATCTAATTGTCTAATAACAATTATTGTTAAACACTTGTACTGTCATCATCTCAATTTTCTGCAATTTTCGCTCTCTCCTTGTTTGTGTATACAGGAGTATGGCCGTTATCTACAGCCATATCCACAACCACCATACCAACCACCATACCAACCACCATACCAACCACCATATCCACCACAACCAAACCCATACCCACCATATCTCTTTTAATATCATCAGTAACTGCAGGACATGATTATTGAGGTAAGATGGGTTTAGTGACATTTTTGACCTTCTGTAAGTATCAGTGCTGACAGTTACGAAGAAAAAAACAAGTCATTAAAACAACAGCAGCTCCAGTATAAGAAAGCATCCTGCCATAGCTCTTTGAAGTGTATTAATTTATCTAAATCCTTCTGAGATAAAGTCTCTTTCCTGCTATGGTTACAAGGCTGGGTTATAGGGTGGGGAGCCCTGGGGTTTCTATCCTGGCCCTGACAACTACTAGTTTCATGACCTTGAACTACCCCTAATGCTCCCAAACCTCAGTTTTCTCATCAACAAATTGTGTATTTATGTTAACATTTAAATACGCTTTATAGAATTGGTGACACTTTTGAAAGACATATCACATACAATCTGTTGATCAGAAAGGTATATAGTTATAACTGTAGGGCTTCCCTGCCACTAAATCTGTAGCTAGGTGTTGTGTAAAGTTTTCACTTCCACAATACAATCTTTGGAGAAGCTACATAAGCACCATCTGGGAACTTGTGAGAAATTTGCATTTTACACCCTAAGTAACTCTACTGAGCAATTACTATGGAAATTATTAACATAATGCTTGTTAATATAAAACAAATATTATCAATTTCTTTTTAGAAGGTCAGTTTTACCTATCTCTACACAACATTATATGTTCTAAATTCAATGAAAGACTAAATATTTTACTACAAAATAGAGCAAACTGTTATAGATAAGAGGATTGTTCTACAATTCAAAGTTAAAATAGTCCAAAGTATTTCAATTATTTTTCAGTGCATTTGGGAGATTACATTCCATTCAATTCTCTATGCCATTAATGATATGGGGAAGAGCCTGAACTTGATCCCCGAGGCATTAGGTAATAGCTGATGATACTTAATCAAGGAAGGATGTATTGAAATATTATTTAGGGGAAATATGTATAAATGAAATGTATGGGCTATATTTAAGTAGAAGAATAAAATAATATAATGATAGAAAAATCATTTAAATTAAAATTTATAGATGCCGAATGATAATTTTCACTCATTCAAATACCAATTTAATGAGTATTCAATTGTCTACTCTGTGTCAAATATGATCTTGGGCCCTGCATTTTATAAACTAACATTGTATATAAATATCCACTCTGTACCAGGCCAGAACAAATATATTTAGTGGGGTAAGAATTTTACAGATAATCTTTTCTTTTTCTGTGCAGGTTTGACTGGCAAATACAACTTCTACATGCATATTCCCATCCTTCATACCATACCACACTATCACCACTTTTTGAAAAATTATCAAAGAGCAATGCAAATGAAAAGAAAGACTATAATTTACTGTATACTCTTTGTTTCAGGATACTTGCCTTTTAAGTTATCATTTGATGATATAATTGAAATTTAAACTGTTAAGCTGTTTTCAGTTTTGTTTCTGAGTAATAGAAATCACTTCTCAAAAGCAATAAATTTCAAGCATATTCTTATGTGTGTGTTCCTTATTTCTTTTTTTTCTATTAATAGGCATGATGATATCTTTCATCATCTTCTTTCCCAGTTTGACTAGCACAGACTGAGGCACACAATGTCAGAGGTCTTTATTTATAATTCAGTCTGTTGTGTTTCATATCTTACAAACATATGGTCCTCAAAATCACCTAAATTATTACAGCTATTTATGCCAAGATTTGATTCGCCCATGGTTTCCTTTGAGGCAGCACAGTTGCTAAGCCTCCAGAATACTCACATTTTTAATCTCAGTCCCTTTGGACCAGAAGATAACCACCAAGTCACCCTACAGCAGTCTGTACGCACTCTGCACGTAAGCCATCTAACACTCTCCATTAGTTTGTCAGCAATGGCTTTTATTCAAAAAGTATTTATTGAATGAAGCCAGATGTCAGGCCCTCTTCTAGATGTTGCCAACAAAGAGAGACAAAAGTTCTGCCTTTAGAGAGTTTACATTGTAGTTGGGAGATGTAGATAAAAAGTAAATAAATAGCACATGTCTTAGGCAATGATGACTGTCCTAAGGAAGTGTAAGAAGGCCTAGGGCATAGAAACAATTTTAAATAGGATAGTCAACAAGAGACTAGCTGATATAGTGACATTTTATGAAAGATATCAACTAAGCATGGGAGTGATATGGAGAAATAAATTTTCCAGCAGAAGGAGTAGCAAATGCAAATCCATTGTGATACAAACATGTTTGCTTCGTTAGGGACAACTTCATGAAGACCAGTGTGGACAGAGAAGGCAAATAGATCAAAATAAATTATGTCACAGTGTAAGGGATATGCAAGTAATTAAAGCTCTGCAGCCCAAGTTAGGTCTTTGATTTGAGATGAATGACATTGGAGAAAGATATAATCTTAAATATATATTGGAATGGAATCAAGGGTTGAATCATAGATATCCATACTTTGGCCTTACAGACACCTGTGGGCCCTTTCTATTTTTATGTCCTTTTATTCTATGTGTTCCTTTTAAAATTTATTTCATTTTCCTCTAACCCAGGACTTCAAAGTTTTCATTCACTATATTCTTGCAATAACTCAAACAACTCCAGTAAGCTTCTGGTATTGAGTAACCCTATTTGCTAATATCCCAATCATCTAAATTCTTAAATTTTATATCATGTTTCTCTACAAAAGCTGAGATGTATAGAAAAAAATGTGATTTTTGTGTTTTCTAAATGTGGAATACATTGCTTACCAAATAATAGTCATGTTCTGGCCCATCAATCTTCTGAAATGGCCTACCATTCCTAAAAGGTGAGACAATAACTAGCAGGAGAAGGTCACTACTGTGTTTCTAGTCCACCATGCTTGTTCCACCTGTCATACATAATCCCCACACTTCCTGACTTGGAGAAGCAGAAAATCACTGGTGAAATAATGCCTACATTTTGGTGTTCCAATATAAAATGTATATCACTTAGATTTAATTGTAGTTTTTAAATGAGTATATTTACACCTATCACTATTTCTTAATTGTAGTTTGCTGTTTGGTAGTGCTTTTGGACTATTTTTATAACAATAAAAGGTGTTGTCACAAGAAAGTATTACAATTCTAAATATATATACACCTAATACTAGAGCTCCCAAATTTAGAAAACAGTTGCTATTAGACCTAAGAAATGACATTGAGAGCAATGCAATAGTAGTGGGGGGCTTCAATACTCCACTGACAGCACTACTCAGGTTGTCACTGAGACAGAAAGTCAACAAAAAAATAGTGGATTTAACCTATATTCTAGAAAAAATGGACTTACAAGATAGAGAACATTTTACCCAACAACTGCAGAATATACATTCTATTAATCAGTGCATGGAACATTCTCCAAGATAGACCATATGATCAGCCACAAAACATGTCTCAATCAATTTAAGAAAATTGAAATTATATCAAGTACTCTCTCTGATCAAAGCAAAATAAATTTGGAAATTAACTCCAAAAGGAACCTCCAAAACCATGCAAATACATTGAAACTAAATAACCTACTCCTGAATTATTATTGGGTAAACAATGAAATCAAGATGAAATTTTAAAATGTTTTGAACTGAATGATAGTAGGGATGCAACCTATCAAAATCTCTGGGATAAAGCAAAGGTAATGCTAAGAGGAAAGTTCAAAGCCCTAAATGCCTACATTAAAATATGTACAAGAGCACAAATAGACAATCTAAGGTCATACTTCAAGGAACTAGAAGTATGGCGATTTTGAAAACAAATGTAACCCAACCCCAGCAGAAGAAAAGAAATAACCAAGATGAGAGAAGAACTAAATGACACTGAGACAAGGGAAAAAAAAGATAAATGAAACCAAAATTTAGTTATTTGAAAAGATAAATAAAATTGATAGGCCATTAGTAAGATTAACCTAGAAAAGAGAAAATCCAAATAAGTTTAATTAGAAATTAAATGGGGACATTACAGCTGACATTACGGAAATACAAAAGAGCATTCAAAGCTACTGTGAACACCTTCATGAACATAAACTAGAAAACCTGGAGGAGATGGATAAATTCCTGGAAATATACAAACCTACTAGCTTAAATCAGGAAGAATTAGAAACACTTAACAGACCAATAACAAGCATCAAGATGGTTATTTAAAATTCCAACAACAACAAAAAAAAAAGTCCAGGACGTCATGAATTTACAGCAGAATATACTAGATACTCAAAGAAGAGTGAGTACCAATTCTATTGACACTATTGCATAAGACAAAAAAAAGGGACTCTTCCCTAAATCATTCTAGGAAGCCAGAATCATCCTAACACAAAGCCAGGAAAGGATATAACAACAACAACAAAAACAAACAAGAAAAAAAAAAAACACATCAATATCCCTGAAGGACATAGATGCAAAAATACTTAACAAAGTACTGTCTAACTGAATCCAACATCATATCAGAAAGATAAATGTAATCCATCAGATAAAAAGGACCAAAGATACAAAGAAGTCCTTTGACAAAGTTCAACAGCCCTTTATGGTAAAAACTCTCAATAAACTAGGTATTGATGGAATGTATCTCAAAACAATAAGAGCTATTTATGACAAACCCACAGCCAATATCATACTGAATGGGCAAAAACTGGAAGCATTCCCTTTGAAAACAGGCACAAGAGAAATATGCCCTCTCTCACCACTCCTATTCAACATACTATTGGAAGTTCTGGCCAAGGCAATCAGGCAAGAAAAAGAAATAAAGGGTATTCAATTAGGAAAGGAGGAAGTCAAATTGTCTCTATTTGCAGATGACATGATTGTATATTTAGAAGACCCCATAGTCTCCACCCAAAATCTCCTGAAACTGATAAGCAACTTCAGCAAAGTCTCAGGTTACAAAATCAATGTGCAGAAATCACAAGCATTCCTATACATCAATAACAGACTTAAAGAGAGCCAAAACAAACCACTGCTCCAGGAAATAAGAGAGGATGCAAACAGATGAAAAAACATTCCATGCTCATGGTTAGCAAGAATCAATATTGTGAAAATCGCCATAATGCCCAAAGTAATTTATAGATTCAATGCTATCCCCATACATCTACCATTTAGTTTCTTCACAGAATTGGGTAAAAAAAAAGCATCTTAAACTTCATATGAAGTCAAAAAAGAGCCTACATAGCCAAGATAATCCTAAGGGGGAAAAAAAAAAAAGCTGAAGGCATCACACTACCTGACTTCAAACTATACTACAAGGCTACAGTGATCAAAATAGCATGATACTGGTATCAAAACAGAGCTATAGACCAATGGAACAGAACAGAGACCTTACAAGTAACACCACACATCTACAACCATCTGATCTTTGACAAACCTGACAAAAATGAGCAATGGGGAAAGGATTTCCTATTTAATAAATGGTGTTGGGAAAACTGACTAGCCGTGTGCAGAAAGCTGAAACTGGACCCATTCCTGACACGTTACACAAAAATTAACTCCAGATGGATTAAGATTTAAACATAAGATCTAACACCCTAAAAACCCTAGAAAGAAACCTAGGCAATACCATTCAGGTCATAGGTATGGGCAAGACTTCATGACTAAAACAATAAAAGCAGTGGCAACAAAAGCCAAAAAGCCAAAATAGACAAATGGTATCTAACTAAACTAAAAAGCTTTGGCACAGCAAAAGAAACTGTCATTAGAGTGAACCAGGAACCAACAGAATGGGAAAAAATTTTTATAAGCTACTCATCTGACAACAGGCTAATATCCAGAATCTACAAAGAACTTAAACAAATTTGCAAGAAAAGAAAAATAACCCCATCAAAAAGTGGGTGAAGATTATAAACAGACAATTGTCAAAAGAAGACATTTATGCAGCCAAAAAACATGAAAAAATATCACCATCACTGGTCATTAAAGAACTGTAAATCAAAACCACATTGAGATACCATCTCACACCAGTTTGAATGACGATCGTTAAAAAGTCAGGAGACAACAGATGCTGGAGAGGATGTGGAGAAATAGGAACGCTTTTACACTGTTGGTGGGAGTGTAAATTAGTTCAATCATTGTGAAAGACAGTGTGGAGATTCCTTAAGGATCTAGAAATAGAAATACCATTTGACCCAGCAATTCCATTACTAAGTATATACCCAAAGGATTATAAATCATTCTATTATAAAGACACACACACACACACGTATGTTTATTGCAGCACTACTCACAATAGAAAAGACTTGGAAGCAACCCAAATGCCCACCAATGATAGACTGAATAAAGAAAATATGATACATACACACCATGGAATACTATGCAGCCAAAAAAAAGGATGAGTTCAAGTCATTTTCAGGGACATGGATAAAGCTGGGAACCATCATTCTCAGCAAACTGTTGCAAGAACAGAAAACCAAACATCACATTCTCTCACTTATATGTGAGTGTTGAAAATGAGAGCTCATGGACACAGGGAGGGGAACATCACACACCGGGGCCTGTCAGGGGGTAAGGGGTTATAGGAGGAATAGGAT